ATGATGCGGTGTTGTACACTGAGGCTTTTGCTTTATAGGCTTATAATTAGGGTCAACATGAAGTCAGTGAGTTATAACATCTGAACTTATGCCTTTCATCTCCGCGGCGTTCCACGCGAAGACATCCACATTTTTCTTAAGAAATTTGCCATCTCGGCCGTGAACATGGTGGAGCCAATTAGAAAGTATTTCTCCTCATCTCCCTCCTCCTAGAGGTCTTCCATGGACCGGTCGGCGCGGTCGATCCGTGGCTCATTGACGCCCAGCTATCCTGACTGTAGTTGTTATTTGTTCAGCCCTTCTTCCGGGCACGTTCCCTCTCGTTGGACATAACCTCGGCCTTTACGGCGGCATAAAAACAACTCTTTGACGAGGCTTGGTCTCCACAAATCTCCATTTTCCCTTCTGGAGTGGGGAACTTCAACTTTTGATGGTAGGTGGAGTGCACTACTCTAAGTGAGTGCAACCAAGTTCACTCCATGATTATGTTGTAAGGTGAATTAGAATCAATCACCACGAACTCTGTGTCGATCGTGATAGAACCTGTGGTGACTAACAAAGTGATCTTTCCCTAGAGTGAAAGATTCGTTGAACCCAACAGGGGGTGTCTTGACAGCGGTGAGATCCTTGGATCCAATGCCCATTCTCTTCAGCACATTGAGATACATCACCTCCAGGGAGCTTCCAGAGTCAACTAAGACCCTCTTGACGTTAAAGTTTCCTACCCGTAGAGTTATGATCAAGGCATCTTCATGGGGGAAAGACTATTGGCATTCGAGAAGGTGAAACCTCCTTGATTCGTCCGGAGCTTCTTACTTGTTTGGCCCCCATCTTTCTCCTCCACCTTCCTGGCAAAGGCTACCCTCTTCAGGTCAGACCTGAGAGTATTGGTCGTCGACCGCTCCAAGGGGCAAACATGGATGACATTACCGCGAATAGGAGCGTGGTCATAAGTGGAATTTGTCTCTCTCGATGTACTCCTTGAGGTATCCCTCTTGGACCAACTTCTCTAAGAAGGACTTGTACACTAGACAATCCTCAGTAAGGCGCCCCACGTCCTTGTGGTACGAACACCTGGCATTCTAGTTCCTAGTGGACGGATCACCCAGTATTTTAGGCGGCCACTTAAAGAATGGTTCCTTCTTGATCTTATGCAACAACTTGTAAATGGGCTCTTTGAACATGGTGTGGATCCCTATGAAGGAGTTCCCCGATGCTAGGACCAAACCCTTCCTCGGAGGGACTCATTCCTTATCCTAATCCTTTTTGTTTGGGCTAAGTTCTTTCCTTTACTCCCTACCAATTCGTCTTCTATCCTAGAGTATTTGTTGATACGGGCCATCAACTTTCTCATGTCCACGAGCGTCCACTTCGTTAATGACCTATAGAGATCCGTGTCCCGAGCCAAGTCGAGTCTGAAAGAGGCCACTACCATGACCTCGGAACATCCGTTCGTCTCATTCACCTCCTCCCAGTAGCGAGCAACGTATTGGCGGAGTATTTCGCCTTTCTTCTGCCGGAGGGTCAACAAGGAGCCGACATCCTTGGGGCATTTGCTCTCCATGATGAACAACACAGAGAACTGCCTAGTCATCTCCCTCTAGGACCCTATGTTATTCATCGGAAGGGTCTCGAACCACTTCATGGTCGTATCGCCTAGGCTCATTGAAAACACCCGACACAACAACCTATGATATGAGTGGTATAGAGGCATCAATTGCTTGTATTGTCGGAGATAAGCCTTTGGGTCAGAACGTTCATCATAAACCTTAGACTGCGGCACCACAAACTTTTTTGGTATCTCCACCTCCATGATACTTCTAGTGAATGGTGATTGAATGACTTCGTTGCTTAGGTCGTCATCTGGGGTGGACTTGTCCATCCTTATGGAGTTTAATTTAGACCTCAGGTCCCCCTAGCCCTTGTGGTGCTTCCTTCCATCATAGTCACGATGGCCGGCATGCCTCCGGACTCCTCCGCAAGCCTTTGCCCGGATAGTCTTTGATGGAGGCCGTTCCAAGCCAAGGGTCTGGCCCTCTTTGCTGGGACTCCGGGACCTGTCCATTGGCCCTCGGGCATTTGGGAGTTTTGGAGCCCCATGCTCTGCCATTGAGGCTGTTCCTAAAGTCGCCGGCCCCTACCTTCTTGATGGAGGGCTCCTTAGATGATTGCGATTTTCGAGAAACATAGTCGGAGAGTGCAAATTCGTTGAGTCTGTTGAGAACATTTACGTTGTTCTCCTCAATCTGCCTCAAGCAGTCCCTCAACCAATCTTCGATGAAGTTGACAAGTTGACAGGCTAGGGGCCCATCCGTTTCACCCCCAAGGCTTAGTTCAGTTTGGCGGGTTCTTTCTTTAGAATGGATCGAAAGCTTCTTGTTGACGCTTTCGACCTGATCCTTTGTTTGTGAAATGGATAGAGCTAGCACGTCCATGGTCCTCTGTTGAGGACCCTTTCCTTTCAAATGCGTATTCACCATGGTCACTATCACCGAAAAACTTGGTTATTTCCCACAGATGGAGCCAAATTGTGCGCAATGATTTTCGCACAGTAAATAGATTGACAGATCTCTCCTTTGATGAACTTGAATTTGCTTGGAAAGTTGAGGTTCCCCAGCAAATGGGTGTTGAGAGATGGTAATAGAGGATGATGGAACTCTTTGCAAAATTGCTCTGGTCATTCTTAAGTTATCGAACTGAGTCTTGTCACTCAAAAAAAGGTAGGAGGGCACCAGAGTGTGTTCTGGTGTGACCCCTTCGACGATCAAGTCAGTATTTGATAGAGGGTTAGAAAAACATTGTTTTATTACTTGGGTGAGATTTTGCGTGTCTTAGACTTGTGTTTGAGAGTGTTATTCATACCTCTCTAGAGTTAACCATTGCAAACAACTGGGTCCCTTAGAGGGAAGACTCTTCATTGACTCACTTGGAAGGCAACATGTGGTGCATTGTCCTTGAGCAGAGTGCCTTGCTTTTCACGCGGCAAAAGCTTATGCATTTAGTGCCTGAATCCCCGAACATTTAATGCTCGTTTTTCTGACTTTGTCAAGCAATAAATATGTTTCATCCTTTTGTTGGGTCATTTAATGAGCTCTGGTTGTGGCTGCGCAAGCGCAGAGACACTTTCATCCATCACCCCCAAGGGTCAATAATTACATATCTTGTACACCAGACGTCTTCCTCATTGGTTGCTAAATTGTCTTTGCAACCATTTTGGCTGCCTTGGAAAGGGGAATTGATGATTAATAGATAATCCAATCTCTAATGTGGTGACGTCATTCTTGATTCCTTTAAGAACTTAACCATTTGGCATAGGCCAAGCGCCAGGATGATTGTCAACACCTAGGCGGAGTGGGGACTCGACGTCGAGGACGCATGTCAGGAGGAGGGATCCTCGTGGGATTTGGGACACCAAGGACGGGTGTCAAGTGACGAATGTTCTGTGAGGGACTCACGCCAAGGACACTTGTCAGTCTCAGAGAGATCTGAGGAGTCTTGAGTTGAGGACACGTGTCGAATTATAGAGGGTCTGATTCTTGTTGCGCCGAGACATGCGTGGATTCATGGAGGCTCCATGCTCATCATGCCGATGACACGTGTCATCTCCCCATTAATTCGTGGAAACATCTCATCAATTATATTTTCCTGCCCGCTTAGAGTTATTAGGATTTTGCATGGCCTTGTGTCTTGTAGGCTATTTATACTATTAGAATATCCCAATATGGTTTAGGTATTTTTTAGATATTCTATTACCTTATTTTAATCTTCTAGGATATTCTTTTCAAATTGTCCCAATGCGGTTTTGATTTTTTTTAGATATTCTAGTACCTTATCTTAATGCTATTGGACACATAAATGTCAAGTATAGGATTAAAGCGAAAAGCACAGAGTAGTTGATCAATTGTATAGATTTAAATAAATCACTACAAGAATTATGGAAAAATCTGTCATTTAATTTTTAACGTTTAACTTAAATGCCACTAAAATTGACGTTTGTTTCTATATGCCAGATAATATTAATAAAAATAAAAAAAAAAAATTTTGCTTAATTTCTGGCATTTAAGTCAAACGCCACAAATTCTTTATTAAAAATAATAAAAAAAATTTCCCTCCCCCAATATAAACTTAATAAAAAAAAATTCGTTTAATTTTTGGCGTTTAAGTCATACGGCACAAATTCTTAATTAAAAATAATAAATTTTTTTTTTCCTTCCCCAACATAAACTTAATAAAAAAAAAATTCTCTTAATTTCCGGCGTTTAACTCGAACGCCACAAATTCTTAATTAAAAATAATAAATTTTTTTTTTCCCTATACCAACGTAAACTTAATTTTTTTTCAATTCATTCTCTCGACTTCTCTGGGGAAGACTCTCACCGGCTCTTCTCAGGCGACAACTCCTCGTCATCCCTCTCACAAGCGACTCCTCTTCTTTGGCTCTCTCTGAGGTGACTCCCTGATCGTTTTCTCTCTCTCTCAGCACGCATTGTGCTGTGATCTATAAGTACCTTTACACATTCTGAGCTCTATTATTGTGTTTTATCTATCTAACCTTTTTACCATTTCGCTTCTTGTTGAATTTGTGAAGGTTTAGTTTAATTTGGTGCAGATTTTTCATTTATTTATTGATTCTGATTTAACTTTGGATAATTTTGAATTCATACAATGTACTAGATCTCTGATGAACCGAAGTCATCCCGCTAGGCATTTAATATATTATGCTTTGGTTTGTAAATAGATCTACATAAACTGTTTTTAACAAGTAACTAGTCTTAATTAGTCTCCTCAGAATGATTGGATTAAGATGGTTAGAACCTCTCTCATCATTTTTGACAATAAATTTATGTTTATAAATTTATCTTTATGAGATTTCATCATTATGCATTTTTCAGTCTTTGAGTTACCATAGAAGTAAGTGGGAATGAGGATGGGTTAACACTTCAATTTTATGATCTTTTTCCAAACTTTTTGGCAACTTTTCAGGGAGAGATTACACACACATGCATATACTTCTGTGGTGGGTGATTATTCTGTTGTCAGAAATCAAATTGCATGATATCCTAAATACACTCACAGGTTTGTTTGCAAACTAAATTAATCAATGCAAACTTCATTCTTTATGTCGTGATTTGTTATTCCCAATGATAAGAAATTCAAATGCAAAACACAGGTATGCCGGCTGTCCAAGATACATGCATATTAATCATTAGAAATTTAGAACTAAGAAAATTGTTGAGGATGAACACCCCAACTCAATATTCAGGGAATTCCTGTTTAATATGTATGTAGTTAGTTTTCATGATAAACCAGCCATATGATAAATAAACATGTAGGAAACTCCTGTTTAAATAACTGCCCATCCAGGGTCTTCAACTCCAATGCACTGCCATTCTGGTGTTGCAATCAGTGGAGTACTTTTCCAGTGCTGTTGTTGCATCCTGTAAATCAAATTTCTCCACATTTAATGTTGAAGTATGCTCAATCACTTCAACATGTGGTTGTGATGTTCTGTGATGTTCTGTGATGTAATTTTTCTATATCCTTACTCGAAACACTCTTTCATGTGCATGGGTCACTCTTTCAATGAAGTGGGTAGTTGCTGGTATGAAGTAGAGAAATTTAATTATCCAAGAAGTCTGGGCCATCCATCCGATGATTTGTGTTTCTGCATCTCGGTAACTTTTCCTCAGTATTTGACTAGAATATAATGTCTTGCTGCTGCTTAAATATATGTATGATGGTATTTTTATCACTATTTATAGGTCTTCCAACAAATCCCGGGCACACTTTTGGTGAAAGGATCATTGCAGCTTAAAGAAAGCCCAGTCTCAGGTAGTCACCTATCTTTCTTGTCGAAGGGTGTGCTTTAATTTAAACAGAGTTAATTTAGCTGTTACAATAGCACTCTAACTACCTTTAACTGCTATTCTGTAACCATTTTGCTAGAAGCATAGTTCTCAACTTGACAAAACAAAGCCTTTGTTCTATTTTCCATTAGAACAACTTTCTTCATTTTGCTCACAAACTTGGTATTTATTGTCTTACTGGTGTCATAACGCCTTCTACCTGAGCCATGCTACACCTATGCCGGTTTCATCATTTTATCATCATCACCTCTGTGTCTCATAGGTGATGCCTGCTTCTTTTTGGACTTCACTGGTGATGCCTAGTTCAGCCTCCTCTGTGTGGATATGTAAACAATTTAAGATCACGAGGCCAATGGGTGAGGAATTTTCTAGGCTCAACCCTTGCAAGTTTGTTTTATCTACTACTGTTTCTAGGTTGACAGTTTTCAGTTTGCATTTTCTTGGATTATTAATGGCAACTTCAGCGGTTGCCAACATTAGTCTGCTACATGGGGAAAACTTAGATTAATGTTCTATTGTATCACAAATTTTCTTACATCAAATTAATAAAAAACTTGTGTATATTTGTGCTGGATAAAAATCAGTGTCTACTTCCATATGAGTTACTTTTCTGCAACCAAGTCTACGATGCATTCTTAATTTTTATTTACAGGGGTTTTTTGTCTGCTGGGGCTTTCTCATTGATATTCCAGCAATTAGAAGTAGTTTTGAAAGATAAATTTTGTATTGAGAAGGCATCAGCAGCTGCCTCGTACTCTAATCGTTCACGATAACAGTGTATGATTTGCTGAACTCATACTTGTAAGATTAAAATTTGTACCATATTTTTGGGATATTTACAATGAAAATGTCAGAATTCAACTTGTAGCAGTAGAGTGGCAAAAACGCATAGCATACAATGTTTATTATAATTTTCATGGTTATGTGATGATTTCTTGTGTCATTAATTGTTAATAATATTAATTGCGGCTGTTGTTTTGTTTTATACACAATTTCAGCTTTGTTTTTTTGATCACTTGAGGTTGTCTACATGTCTCTTCCTGTTTATTGTTGTCTGATCATTCTGCTTGCTTGAGGGCCTATTTGTTTCCCACGATCTTGTTCCTGTTCCATTCATTCCATACTGCCTGACCACACCCACATTCATGATTCTTATATCTGACTGGTTGATCCCATAATTTCACTGAGATTTCTGTTGGATATCTCTTACCTACCCAGGTTTTAGGATAGCAGCTGAAATGACTCCTTTTCGAAAAATTAAGTTTGATGGATTTTTTATGGCTGCCCTTTGTGCTGTGTTAGGGTACTTTGTTCCTGCAAGGAAGAACAAAGACGGTGGTGGTGATTTCTAACCAAAATTGATTTGGGGATTTTTTCTTGAAAATTTAGTGTGGAAAATATCTTTTCTTGTTGAAAATTTCTAACCAACATGGCTGCTGAATTTAAGGCTATGTTAGATGGTTTAAATATGCTGGTGAGGTATGGTTTGGAGGGATATCAAGTATTGATTGAATCACTCTTTAGTGGTGGCAAACACTATTAAAGGTATGTTTCAGTGTTCTTGGCCTTATATGGGGATTATGGAGCAGATTGGGAAGCTGTTAGCTGGGTTGCATTTTCAGTTGAGACATGTTTACCGAGAAGCAAACTTTGTGGCAGATAGCTTGGCTAATAAGGCGGTTCAGGATGGGTTCTCCTCTGACTATAGTTCGATCCAGTTGCTTGCACTGGTAAGGATGAAGCATTTACAGGATCAGAGGTGCTTACCTGTTTTGCGTACAAAAACTGTGCTGTGCTGTGCTGCTTTTTGATGATGGTGGCCAAGGAGCTGGAGTGATGGTGGTGAAGCAGGTCTGCTGAAGCTTTTTGAGAGGCTTGTGGGTATGCTGAAGAGGCCAGTGGGAGCTTACTGCAATTTTTTGGTTGTTTTGTGAGTTTTCTTGATTGTAAAGCTCAAGGCAGTAGGTTGTTTTGAAGGTTTAAAGCCAAGTTGTGGCTCATCTTTTTTGCTTCTTGTAAATATTTCTGTTATTCAATAATTTTTTTTACGAATTTACCCTTAACGGTCATAGCATTATACATGTTTAACCTCTATTAATTTATATATACACTTTATATACACCGGTGAAGCCCACCCACCTTTTATTTTCTCTACCGCCCTTTCCATTTCTCTTTCTTTCTCTCACGTCGGCCTCCACCACCCGTCTCTCCTTTGACCAATCGGTGGTGAAGGCAATGCTAACTGCTAAGCAGCTAAGGTATCGATTGGAAAATAGGGTCAACAACGTTTGTTAAATTGCGAAGCTCTGTTGACCTGAAAATATAATTAGAAACACTCATTTGTCAACACGAATATGTAGCAAGTATAATTATCTCCTTAGGCAACACTAATATGTAATCTCTGGCACTAATTAATCTGTATCTATATTACTAATAAAACTACCTCAACATGAAAAATAAATTTTGATTCTCAAATTTGTCCTTGATTATTATTTCGAAGCCGATTTAATCCCTAATCCAATAATTAACATAATTATAATCAATTTAAGTTTTTGAACCTACGTATTTGGGGATTAAATTTCTAACTGATGTATGATTCAATTATTAATTAAGCTTGGGTCACTTCATAGACTTTTTAAATTCTAAGAATTAATTTTTAACCCATTGGACCTCTATATATTCTCTATTATTTCACACTACAAATTGATACGGACTCTATGAATTATTTCGCATCAATGACCAATGTACTAGATATTAACTCGAGACCTTCCATTTAAGCATTAATATTTTGCTTCCTTTATAGAATGATAGACAAGGTGAATGGGTCCCTCTTCCAAAGTCCTCTGGTTTAATCTACACAATATGATCTCTCTTATATGTATGCATGTGTTTAATTTTGTGTGTGTATATATATAACTGATTTGTTTTTATTTTATTTTAAATCTGATTGACTTCGTCTATGCATGTGTTAAGAGCATTATCTAATATACAGCACAAATAAAATCAAATATTGTAGTAGCAGTAATAAAAACATGTACCCTAAATGGTTTTTGAATTGAGGTATACACTTAATTCTTTCTTCTTCTTTTTAATTTGATATTCATGTTAATACTGGTCATGCATATAAACAAAGAGACCATACCATTTATATATTTGTGTCGAGACATATAGAAAGTTTTTTAATTTTTAATTTTATCCTTAATTAATAATATAAAGTTAATCATATACTTTTCTATTTCTTTAGAATGATTAAATATAATAGGTTAATAGTTATTGACATATATTCAATAAAGAGAAAAAAAAAGTTCCTATGCAATAGAAGACTTTTCTTAGTCTTTCCTTCATATAAAAGTAGATTACACATATAAAACCAACAGTTTTGTCTCTAATTCGCCCATATGTTGTAATGATGGTAGTTAGTTTCTAATTCTAATAATTTATTAAGACCCATTTGTTAATGAGTATTGTCCGTAATAATTATAAACAGATATTGGTTATATATTGTATTTTATCATATTATTTGTCTTTTAAGTCCATTTTATTATTTTATAATTTTTTTATTGAAGGGGAGGAGTGTTCTAATAGAATATGAATATTGGACATTTAACTTGTTAATGTTTATTAAAGTTGTGCATTTTACAAGAAGAAAAATGATCAACAACTTTAATATATAATATTTTATACACAAAAGAGTATACATATAACAAATGTGGACGAAAACTAATATAAACACATATAAATTTGCAACAACAAACTATATAATCACCTTATTAGGTGGTGGGGGGGGGGGGTTGCTCGCGGTTCTGGGTATGGGAAAGACACGAACAGAGAGATCTTTGGGTGGGTTGGTGCTTGCATGCTTGACAACATCATGGTGCTGGTGGATAGAGAGTGGGTTGAGTGGGGCTATGGGGGAGTATGGTAGTGTCGGTGGTGTAGCAAAGTACTCCAGATTGTCAGAAGACTAATTCAAAATTATCTCTATATTATTTTGACATGTGCAGATATAGACATGATTACTGTTGGTTGAATAATTTTTTTTCTTTCACAAAATATACAAGTGAATTAGCCTCCTTATTACATTTTGTGTTCGATAAAACACTAATGTTTCGTTTGGTATGATAGAAAAGTGAGAGGATGAAAAATTAGAAGGATAAATAAAACATCATGTTTGGTAAGGAAGGAAAGTAGGAAAGATTAAAAAGTGGATGAATTAACTTTCCTTCCAACTCACAAAAATCAATCCCTCCAAAATCGGAAGGAAAGTAGGAAGGATAGAAAAGTGAATGGATTAACTTTCCTTCTAACTCACCAAAATCAATCCCTCCAAAATCAAAAAAAAAGTGGATGAAAAATTAATTATTTGTATTAAAATGTATCATATTTGTCTATATATCTTATGTATACATTACATATAAAAATACAATGATAAAATATGTATATATATTTTAAAAAATTTTAAAAATTAATTTTTTAAAAAAAATAAAAAATAAAAATTTTTAAAAATAAAAATTTTAAATTAAAAAAAAATTTAATCTTAACTAAGGGTGAAAATTTTCAACTCAACACGATGACTCAACTCGAACTCGATACAAAAATAAATAAGTTATCTCGCAACCCGACACGACACAATTAGTTAAATTAGTAAAGTTAGATTTGACTAATATTTGACACAAACTCGTAATGACTTAACACGAATCTAACACGATACGACTCGTCACCTCTAATTTTAGCCGGTACAAAAAAAAATAATCATTTTTATTTTTCATCCATCCAACCAAACACAAAGGAAGGAAAGCGTATCCTTCCTACTTTTTATCCTTAAAAGATAGAAAGTGTATCCCTCCTATTTTCTATCCTTCCTATTTTTCATCCTCTCTACCAAACGGAGCATAAGGGCGACAGTGTAAGGGTCTAAAATTGGACAATAATAGAGTTTTAAACATGAATATAACATTCAAGTACTTAAGTACAAATGTGAGTTTTTTGTACCACCAATAAAACATGATTAAAGTGTCCACAACCTTGGTATACTATAATAATTCATTTTCAAAATAGTACACGTGTAACACACATATGTGCTACAACTAGAATATAAAAAGTCTACAATTATAACCCTTCACTCACCCAATTAAACCCATCACTCGCAAGTCCCAATTAACTAAAATCCACTCAATCAATATGTTATCAAAACCATCCAAAAAAATTATTAATTCTACAAGAATTCATATAATATCTCATCAAGAAATTTGAAAAAAAAAACATTTTCTTTTAACATTATTTTTTGTGTTAAAATCGAATTTTATACATATATGTGTGTGTGTACCACTTTGAACTTTAAATAACGATAGAGTAATGTTATTTAAACATAATTTAATGATATAATTTATTGACTTAATCATTCATAATCATTGAATTGACAATAAGTTACATTTATTGAACCTCACAACCAATGTAATGATTATAATAAATTTTGTCAAAGAGATTGAAAGTTAGACATCCAGTCAACTTTAAAATTTTCATGAACCATTGAATTACACATGGATGGTCAATACTTCAACGATGTAGTTTAAAGATGCAACAGTAAATTTAAAGATGCATAGATACTATTTTTATCAGTACAACAAATCTAAAAAAAGACTTCAATATCATACTTTCATAAAGATATATCAAGTGTAAAATTTTATTATTCTATTTTCTTTTCTCTCAATGGTTTCAAAGCATCTAAGATAAAATCTACGGTTAAGATGCATTAAGGTATGGTAGGGACGATGCCGTAACTTTACCCATATATCATAGGAAATTTGCAGCAAAACATGGGGGAATTCTAAATGGTTGTCTAACGGGTGGTTCTGAGTTGTATTTTGTCCTTTTCTTGCTTTGTGCACGACATAATAGGGGTCAATATCAGTATTCAAGAGAGAAGGGCCAGAAGGGGCCATAATGCAGCTTGCAATTAAACATTACAAGTGGTATGGATAGGTATTCGAGGGTGATGGGTCAAGTTTA